AAATCTGCCCCGCCACTCTGACATGCGGAACGCTGCGCCTCCGTTTGGGGGATCTTGAAGGCCAGGGCAACTTGTGACTTCACCTTGTGGGGAAACGCGAAATCTGAATTCACTGTTTGGGGAAATGAAAATGTGCATTCACTGTTCTGGAACAAAATGAAACGGTGGAATCACATCTTGGAGTTTGGCATACGAATCAGGATGTGAATTCACATGTTGGCAAAAAGGAAAAATGAGGATTCCTCACACTCTGGGAATAAGGAACGTGTGAATTCACATGTTGGGGGAATCGCGGAACCCATTCCAAATCTGTCTAAGGGGTCGACAAGTAATCGTTTGGGGACATACGCGATCATCAACCGCACAATCAAGACCCATTTGCACTCCACTTCGCCGCCCCACGCACGATATGCAAGAACGCCCGCATGCATGAACGATAATAGATGGACGGCGCGTTTGCCCGCGCGGGCAACGCGCGGGCACGAACGACTGGCCCTCCATGACCGCCAACATTGGATGCCAATCGTACCCGATCACATACATGAGCGATCTCAGAGTGAGGGGGCCGAGCGGTCATTCACTGTCCCTGGGTGCGTGGCTGAAGTGGAATCCCGCGGTGCGGATTCTCGTTGTTGTTTGTTGTTGTTTGTTGTCGTCGTCCCACCCGCAACCCGCCCCGCGACCCACCCGCGACCCAACCCACGACCCACCCGGCGACCCACCCGCGACCCACCCGCGACCCACCCACGACCCACCCCGCGACCCACCCCGCGACCCACCCCGCGACCCACCCCGCGAACCACCCCGCGACCCGCCCGCGGCCCACCCCGCGACCCACCCGCGACCCACCCGCGACCCACCCGCGACCCACCCGCGACCCACCCGCGCCCCACCCCGCGACCCACCCGCGACCCACCTTCGACCCAAACCACGTTCAAGGTACAAACCATAATTTTCGGCGCCTTCGGCGGGTTTTTTTGCATTCCTTCCAGGTGGAGTGCCCGCGCCCCACCCCGTGACCAAGTCGCGACCAACCCGCGACCCAAACCACGTTCAGGATACAAACCACATTTGTCGGCGCCTGCGGCGGGCATCTTTTGCATTCGTTTCAGGTGGAAAGCCCGCGACCCACCCGCGACCACGTTCATGGTACAAACCGCATTTTTCGGCGCCTGCGGAGGGCATCTTTTGCATTCCTTCCCGGTGGAGAACCCGCGGCCCACCCGCGACCAAAACCACGTTCAGTGTACAAACTAATGTGTTGGGCGCCTGCGGCGGGCTGCTTTTGCATTCCTTCCAGGTGGAGGTGGAGAACCAGCGACCCACCCGCGACCCAAACCACGTTCACTGAACAAACCAATGCCGCACAAGCGCGGCGGCGGATTTTTGAATGCCGTCTGAGCCCGCAAAGACCTCTTCAAGTTCCGCGCATCCACACCAGCCCGTCCAGCAACTTTGCCCTGGCGAGTTGCCTTGGAGCATAAAGTGGAAAAAAGGATTGCGTTGCAGTTATCTCGGGAAAGGAGGGGGAGGCAGGAGGAAAAAACAGGGGACGAGGAGGACGCGGAAGAAGAGAGGATGTAAGGATATTGCGGAGAAAGAAAAGGAGGAGGAGCAGGAGGACGAGGAGGGGGAGGAGGATAACGAGGAGGGGGAGGAAGGGGAGGATGAAGATGATGGACGACAATGGGAGGACGATGATGGAGGCCGACGCGGGGGAGGACGACAATGGGAGGACGATGATGAAAGGACGAGGGGGGGGAGAGGGAGGACGAGGAAGAAGAGGAGGAGGAGGACGAGGTGGAGGAGGAGGATGACGATGACGATGACGATGAGGACGAGGACGAGGAAGAGGAGGAGGAGGAGGAGGAGGAGGAAGAGGAGGAGGAGGAGGAGAGCGCCATCGACAGGGAAGGTAGGGGCCACGAGGTCCGCCGGCTCGACGACGCCCGCGTCGCCCGCGCCCGCCCCCTCACTCTTATCCGCAATTGCGGGGTGCTACGTATTAAACATAAATGGGCAATTCAGCCACCATTGCAGACAGCCCTGTTGCAGACCCCTTCTTTCACCCTCCAACCGAAACAGGGTAAGGCCGCCTGGTGCGAAGAAAACTGGGACGCCTGAGTCTCAAGGATCCGTGCGTCTGGCCTCAGAGTTTGTCAGAACGTATGATCTCGAAACATGACAGAAGGCGCGCCGCTGGATGCCCCAAATGACGGGGGGGGGTCGGACCCCCTCCCCCTTCCCTGTCTGTCGTCTTGGGACACCCGCCCCCCTTTCCCAATCCGACTTCCTGGACCCCCCCCCTCCCGCCCCTCCATGGACTCGAAAATCGGACTCCCCCCCCTCCCTCCCCCCCTTTGGCCACGCCGCCAACCTAGATCCGGAACCCTACCCTCTGACCCTACCGCCACAATCCTAACCCTAATACCCTAACATCCTAACCTAAACATTCTAGCCCGAACACCCTAACCCTAATGCTCCAGCACCCTAACCCTGACACCCTAACCCGAACGCGCTAACCCGAACCCTACTGCCACGAGCCCTAGGCCCTTAGCCGAACTTCCTAAGCCGAACCCTACTGCCCTAACCCTCACACCCGAACCTAACACCCCACCCTATATGTCGCCCGAACACCCTACTCCGAAACCTATCTCCATAACCCGAACCCTACCACCCTAAGCGTAACACCCTGACCCTAAGACGCTCATCCCATCCCTAACTCCCTGACCATAGCACCTTGAGCCCAAACACCCGAAGCCTAACATCCTAACCCGCACACCCTGGGCATAACGTCCTCCCCCTAACACCCGAACACGACCACCTTAAGCCTAGCACCCTCACCCTAAAACCGACACCCTAACCCTACTGCCCAAACCCTTACCTTACCGCCGAGGACCGAGCACCCCAATCCCAAACCTAACCCCAACCCTAGACCTACCACCCTAAACCGAAACACTCTCGCCCGAATCCCGAACCTGCGAAGCCCGACACCCAAAGCCCCAATCCTAAAGATATCTACCCTGAACCCTGGGTCCTACGCCCTAAGCCCTAAACCCTGAGTTCAAAGCTCTAAGCCCTAAACCCTAAGCCCTGATCCCAAATCACTAACACCCGAATCCTACTCCGAAACCAACGCCGCAACCCGAACACTGAAACCATAAAACATCAACACTAACCTGAAATAAAAACCCTAAACCATATGCCTTCAGCTCTAAGCCGTAAACCATAAGCCCTATGCCCAAGGCCCCGACATCCTGACCCTCAGCTTTAAACTTAAGTCTTAGGCCCCAAGACCCAAGCTCACGACCCCAGCCCTCAGCTCTAAATCTTAAGCCCTCAAGTGTAAGCCCTAAGCACTAAGCGCTGAGCCTTAAGCTTAACGTCATGCCGCCCCAAACCCTTAGATCTGAGCCCTAAACCATACGCCCACAGACCTAAACCCTGACACCCTAACCCCAAGCTTCAAACCCTAAGCCCTAAACCCGAAGCTTAAACCGTAACTGTAATCCCTAAGCTCTACCCTCTAAGCCCTACGCTCTAAACCCCACGTTCAGCCTAGGCCGTAAGTCCTAAGCGCTGATCCCTAAACCTTCACACCCTAACCCTACCGACCTACCCCTACCTAACCCTAACACTCCACTCTGATCCCGACCGCCCTAACCCTATCCCTACTGCCCCAACCCTACCCTAACCCTATCCCTACCGCCCCATCCCACCCAATCTAACCCGAATTCTACCGCCGTAAGCGCCAGGCTCTCAGCCCTAAGCCCTAAACCCCAAGTTCTACAACCATATGAGAACTCACTCCTGAGGCCTGACCCGCCACGCGACCTGGTTTCATCGTCATTCCTGACCCTCGCAAGTTTGCCCGAAGGTGTCGACTAAATTCGCAGTTCCAAGCCCCAAGGGTGGCGAGGTCGAATGTAGATCTGTGTAAGACGTCACTCCGCTGGAGCCCCCAGCTGCTCCTGGACGCGTCGACAGCTTCGCAGTTCTCAGCCCCCCAGGATGGCGACGGGTCTCATTCGGATCTGCATACTACGTCACTTCGCTGGACCCCTCGGCAGCCCTCGAAAGTGTCAACAGATTCGCAGTCCACCAGGAATGGCGAGGTTGAGATGAACCTGCATAATACGTCACCCCGCTGACCCACAGCAGCCCTGGAACATGGCGCCATATTCGCAGTTCGCAGCAACCCAGGGATGGCGAGGTCACTTGGGACGGCGAGGTAGGAAACAGGCTGGCAAGCAGGAAAGATCCAGGTAGGAGGCGCGAGAGCGCGGTAAGAGGCGGAAGGGAGAGAGGATGGGGGAGGCGGGAGGAAGGGGCTCGCGACCGCAGCGCTCTATTCAAAACGAAAAACCAGCGCAGGAGGGCGGGAACCAATTACCCTTTGATGTACATAACCCATTTGCATCAAGTGACAGAAGGAATGTGTCGAAATGTGCACAGGCAACGAAACTGTAGGCTCCGGCATGTGCTGTACGAGCTATATCAGAAGTGCGCGCGTTGCTGGCACGGTGGCGGAATTGCTGGAGGCAGCTCATTCATTGAAAGATATCATGAGAAGCTTTGCACGGGGGGGCGTATTGAAGCATCGTTGGTGCTTGTCGGGATTACTCTGTTCCTCATCCACCTCCTCTTTCCCGTCGACGTTGCCCGCCTCCTCCTCCTCCTCCTCCTCCTCCTCCTCCTCTGCAGCCTCATTTTAGTTTTAATTATCTTCCTGTTCCTCCTCGTCCTATCTTCCTCTCTTCTTGTTTCTCGCTATCTCTCTCTCTCTCTCTCTTCCAACTCTCACTCCTCCTTGCACCCGTCCTCCTCGTTCTCCCCCTCCGGCTCCCCCTCTCTCGCGCCCCCGTCCTCCCCGCTCTCCCCCTCTCTCGTCCTTACCCTCCTCTTGCTGCGCCTGCCCCTCCCCGTGGCCTCCCAGGAGGTCCTCCGGGCCTCCCCGCCGCCGCGAGAGGCGCAGAGGAGGCGGCGCCCGCGAGGGGGGGCCTCGACGCCCAGGGCCTGCACGTGCGCCTTGAGCGCCAGGAGCCACTGGTAGGCGAACGCCTGCAGCCGGAGGAGCGAGGAAGGGGGAGGAGGAGGAGCGAGGAAGGAGGAGGAGGAGGAGGAGGAGGTGGTGGAGGAGGAGGAGGAGGAGGAGGAGGAGGAGGAGGAGTGAGGGAAGCGGGGGAGCGAGGAGGCAAGGGAATGGGGCGGAGGGAAAAAAGCGAGTGCTCCCCAAAGAGTTGCCCAAACGGTGCTTGCACTTCAGAATTCTCAGCTTTTGCTCTAGGGGAACTGGGCCAGGGGATCGGTCGCCGTCGCCGCCCCGCCGCCGCCCCGTCGCCGCCTCGTCGTTGCCCGTCGTCTGGGCCTGGGGGTCCGTCTGGCGGCTCCGTGGTCGCCGTCGCCGCCCCGCCGCCGCCCCGTCGCCGCCTCGTCGTTGCCCGTCGTCTGGGCCTCGGCGTCCGTCTGGTGGCTCCGTGATCGCCGTCGCCTCCCCTCCGCCGCCTCGTCCGCACATCCAGGACTGCACGTGTATTCTCCTTTCTGAAAGACTAATAAATTCTCCCCCTGCCCCCCCCCCGGACTTATCGGGACCCCCGCGCGTGCTGTAAATTACATACGATTCTGACCACATGTCCATCCTAAAAATGAACTCATACCATCCCAGCCAAGCCGGGTTCCCCCCCCTGCGGTTCCCTGGTAAAAAAAAAAAAAAAACACTATGCGGTGACATTGTCTGTTCTAACATAGCACTTTTTCGCGAATCCCTTGCAAAAAACGAGACGAAGTGCACACGCGCGCGTCGTCGCGCGCGCATGCCGAAATCCTTCAAAAAACCTTCGGTGCCGGAAGGATGTCGCAATCGAGTTTCCCAAAAAACATACAAAAACACATGGTTTCGCAACACTGATTTGCTAAAAAAACTTCCGCGCGAGGTCTTGCGAAATCTTAAGAACACCATAGGTTTTCCAAGATTTTCACAAAATGCTACCAAACGGGCTTCGCGCGCGCGCATGTCGAAATCTGTCGAACTCCCTTGCGCGTGTGCCGTCGCGAGAATCCTCTGCAAAAAATGAGACGAAGTGCAGACGCGCGCGTCGTCGCGGGCGTATGCCGAAATCCTTCAAAAACCATCGGTTTCGGAAGGATTTCAAAATCGTGCGTCCAAAAAACCTACAAGAACCCAAGGTTTCGCAACACGGATTTTCAACAAAAGCGCACGCGCGCGCGCTCTTGCGTCGTCGTCGTCGTCGTCGTCCTCCCTCCTCCCTCGTCGTCGTCGTCGTCGTCGTCGCCGTCGTCGTCTTCTGTCTTTCGTCGTCGTCGTCGTCTTGGCGTCGTCGTCGTTTCCGTCGTCGTTGTCGCCGTGGTCGTCCTTCCTCCCTCGTTGTCTTCGTCGGCGTCTCGTCGTTGTCCCTCCAATTTCGTCGCCGTCGTCGTCGTCGTCGTCGTCGTGGTCTTCACTCCTCCCTCGTCGTTATCCTCCTCCCTCGTCGTCGTCGTCCGTCGTCGGCGTCTCGTCGTCGTCCTTTCATTTCGTCGCCGTCGTCGTCGTCTTCGTCGTCGTTGTCATCGTCGTCGTCTTCCCTCCTCCCTCGTCGTTGTCGTCGTCGGCGTCGCCGTCCTTCCTCCTTCTTCGTCGTTGGCGTCGTCGCCGTCTTCCCTCCTCCATCGTCGTTGTCGTCGTTGTCGCCGTCGTCGTTTTTTCTCCTCCCTCGTCGTCGTCTCCGTTGGCGACGTCGTCGTCGTCTTCGTCGTCGTCGTCGGCGTCGTTGTCGTCGTCGTCGTGTCGTCGTCGTCGTCGTTGTCGCCGTCGAAAACATTGGAGACGTCGTCGGTGTCGTCGCAGTCGCTGTCGGCGGCGCCGTCGTCGTCGATGTCGCTGTCGTCGTCGGCATCGGTGTCGTGGCCAAGTGCCATGTGGTACCTACCGTCACGGTCTTGTCTGAAGAGGTCTTGCGACCAAGTTGCGGGTGGGAGGGTGGGATGTTTGCACGAGCAGTGGAGAGGACAGCTTCAAGACGGTCAAGATTATTGCCGCACAGATTCTCCTTTCTAAAAAACTAATAGATTCTACCCCCCCCCCCCGGACTTATCGGGTCCCCCGCGCGTGCTGTAAATCACATATGATTCTGACCACATGTCCATCCTAAATATGAATTCATACCATCCCAGCCAAGCCGGTATCCCCCCCCCTGCGGTTCCCTGTCAAATAACACTATGCGGGGACATTTTTCTTTCTAACATAACACTTTTTCGCGAATCCCTTGCAAAAAAGGGACGAAGTGCGCACGCGCGCGTCGTCGCGCGCGCATGCCGAAATCCTTCAAAAACCTTCGGTGCCGGAAGGATTTCGCAATCGAGTTTCCAAAACAACATACAAAAACACTTGGTTTCGCAACACTGATTTGCTAAAAAAACTTCCGCGCGAGGTCTTGCGAAATCTTAAGAAAACCATAGGTTTTTCAAGATTTTCACAAAATGCTACCAAACGGGCTCCGCGCGCGCGCATGTCGAAATCTGTCGAACGCCCTTGCGCGTGTGCCGTCGCGAGAATCCTCTGCAACAAATGGGACGAAGTGCAGACGCGCGCGTCGTCGCGGACGTATGCCGAAAACCTTCAAAACCCATCGGTTTCGGAAGGATTTCAAAATCGTGCGTCCAAAAAACCTATACGGATTTTCAACGAAAGCGTGCGCGCGCGCGCTCTTGCGTCGTCGTCGTCGTCGTGGTCGTCGCCGTCCTCCCTCCTCGTCGTCGTCGCCTACGTCGTCCTCTGTCTTTTCTCCTGTTTGTCGTCGTCGTTCTCTTTGGCGTCGTGGTCGTTTCCGTCGTCGTCATCGCCGTGGTCGTCCTTCCTCCTCCTCCCACGTCGTCGTCGTCCGTCGTCGGCGTCTCATCGTCGTCCCTCCTATGTCGTCGCCGTCGTGTTCGTCGTTGTCGTCGTCGTCTTCCCTCCTCCCTCGTCGTTGTCGTCGTCGGCGTCGCCGTCCTTCCTCCTTCGTCGTCGTTCGCGTCGTCACCGTCCTCCCTCCTCCTTCGTCGTTGTCGTCGTTGTCGCCGTCGTCGTCCTTCCTCCTTCCTCGTCGTCGCCTTCGTTGGCGTCGTCGTCGTCGTCGTCCTCTTCGTCGTCGTCGGCGTCGTTGTCGTCGTCGAAGTCGTCGGAGACGTCGTCGGTGTTTTCCTAGTCGTTGTCGTCGGTGTCGTCGTAGTCGGTCTTAACAGGTTTTGCAAACCAAGTTGCGGGTGGGTGGGTGGGATGTTTGCGCGAGCAGTGGAGATGACGACTTCAAGTTCCGCAGAGTGGATTGCATCTCGTAGACTGCACCACGACGGGTTCACAGCACATTTTACAATCCCTAGATTCACCACGTAGATTGCTCCACGTGCACTGCGCACCATAGATTATACTTTATCCTCCCTTCTAAAAGAGATATAAACTCTACCCCCCCCCGCGTTATCACTACCCCGCGTCCTATGTAAATCACATATGGTTCTGACCACATGTCTATTCTAAATCTGAAATCGCAATGTCCCAGGCCTGCCGGGTTCCTCCCCCTGAGGTTCCTTATGTATATATATATATAAGAGAGAAAGAGAGAGAGAGAGAAACAAACAAAACGATGCGGCGAAATATTTTGCTATAAAATAAAACTTGTTCACTAATCCTTTTCCAACAAATGGGACGAAGTACGCACGCGCGCGTCGAGGCGCGCGCATGCCGAAATCCTCCAAACACCTTCGGTGCCGGAAGGATTTCGCAATCGAGTTTCCAAAAAACGTATAAAAACAACGGATTTCGCAACACTGATTTGCTTAAAAAACTTACGCGCGAGCTCTCGCGAAATCTTGAGAAAACCATGGGTGTTTCTTAAGATTTGGGAAATATTAAGAAAACCATGTCGAAATCTGTCGAACGCCCTTGCGCGTGCGCCGTCGCGAGAATCCGGACGAAGTGCAGACGCGCGCGTCGTCGCGCGCGTATGCCGAAATCCTTCAAAACCCATCGGTTTTGGAAGGACTTCAAAATCGTGTCTCCGAACAACCTACTGAAACACCAGGGTTCGCAACACGGATTTTCAACAAAAGCGTGCGCGCGCAATCTTGCGACGTCGTCGTCGTCGTCGTCGTCGTCGCCGTCCTCCCTCCTCCCGCGTCGTCGTCGTCGTCGTCGCCCACGTCGTGCTCTGTCTTTCCTCGTGTTCGTCGTCGTCGTCCTCTTTGGCGTCGTGGTCGTTTCCGTCGTCGTTGTCGCCGTGGTCGTCCTCGTCGTCGTCGTTGGCGTCGGCGTCGTCGTCGACGTCGGCGACGTCGTCGCCGTCGTCGTCGTCGTCGGCGTCGTCGGCGTCGTTGACGTCGTCGTCGTCGGTGTCGTCGTCGTCGGCGTCGTCATCGTCGCCGTTGCCATCGTCGTTGTCGTCGTCGTCGTCGTCGGTGACGTCGTCGTCGTCGTCGTTGTCGGCGTCGTCGAAGTCGTTGGAGACGTCGTCGGTGTCGTCGTAGTCGTTGTCGGCGGCGTCGTCGTCGTCGTTGTCGCTAGCGTCGTCGGCGTCGCTGTCGCTGCCAAGCGCCATTTGGTACCCACCGTCACGGTCTTAAGAGATTGTGCAAACCAAGTTGCGGGTGGGTGGGTGGGATGTTTGCGCGAGCAGTGGGGTTGACAACTCACTGCGAACAAAAATTACTAAAAAGAGAATGAGCTCTGCCCCCTCCGGCGTTATCGCCCCCCCGCGTCCTATGCAAATCACATATGCTTCTGACCACATGTCCATCCGAAGTATGAAATCACAATGTCCCAGGCCAACTGGGTTCCCCCCCCCTGAGGTTCCCTCTCTCTTTTTTTACAAAAACAAAACATACGCGGGGATAGTTGTTGTTCTAACATCAGACTTTTTCACGAATCCTTTGCAAAAAACAAAACGAAGTGCACACGCGCGCGTCGTCTTGCGCGCCTGCCAAAATCCTTCCAAAACTCTCGGTGCCGGAAGGATTTCGCAATCGAGCTTCAAAAAAAACATACACAAACACAGGATTTCGCAACACTGATTTGCTAAAAAAAC